ATTTTTATTATGTTTGCTGCATTTGTTGTTGCTTTCGTACTGCTGCTGTTGCTGCAGCAGAAATGCGTTATTCTTGTGTGTTGTAGGAGTTTGGAGTTGGTGCCTGTGTAGTAGTGTGGACATCGCTGTCACTGCTGTTGGTTGCATTTATTATTGACAGTTGGTGGCTTGCCTGTTGTTTTTGTTATTGGCGTTTTTTTCGTGATGGTGGCAATTGCGCGCAAAATGAACAAACTATTTATAAGAAGAAGAAGAGAAACGAACAAAGTCATATTGAATGAATGAATGAATGGCAGACGAATTGTAAGTAAATTGAAATAAATTGTGGATCATTTAAAAATATAATGATTATTGATTTATTTTATGTATTTAAATTTTTTTTGTTGTTGTCACTGTTATTGTTGCGTCTTGATTATGTTCTTAGGTAGCGTTTGTTAGTGCTGTTGTTTTTGTTCTTATGGCTAGGTTATGTGGCGTTTATTACGAAATTTTTGTTTTGTTAGTATTTATTTCTACATGTGTTCATCCAGCAATTGTTGTTTAATATTATGATCTTGTTGTTGTTGTTGTTCTTATACACCTCAAATTGAAAATTATTGTTATCGACGCGGCTTGCATACATAAAATATTGATAAGAAAATTTTAAACAAATAAAAAAATTTAGTATTTAAAAGAAAAAAATTAAATAAAAAAAAAATTTTAACAATACAAAAATGAAAATATGCACTTCAAATCTGAAAATATTTAAAAATTTTAAATTTTGAAAGAAAAAATGTTTAATAAGCAATTTCAGTCTGAATGCATATTTCTTATTTTATTTTTTATAATAAAGTTTTTTTGAGAAAAAAAATATTGCGACCATTGCTGGCGCTTCTTGGGGAAACGTTCTCGTAAGCGGACACCAATGAATTTTTTTTTGTGGATTTCACCCATCGTTTTTGCAGTGTACGCTTGTATGTTTAACAATTTGAACTTTTGTTCATTTGAGTTTTTTGTTATGTACAAAGCATTTTCGGCAATTTTGTTGATTTATTCAAAATTTTAGACATTTGGAATTTTATTCGATTATGAAACTGTTTTCAGCAATAAAATTCAAATTTTATATAAACAAGAATTCCTCAAATGCTTTAATTAAATTCTTTGATATTGCGTTAAAATATATATTATAGCATCGCAATTTACTTTTATTACTCAAAGCTTTCAATTATCGAAACTACGACTGAAGTCCTCCTATTTTTAATGCGTTTAATGTGAGTTGAAAGCCAAATACCTGATTAGCTGAGGCGAAGTTGCACGAGGACTCCCATAGAATGGAAGAATCTAGAATAAAGAAGTTTAAACGTAAACTGTCACAGTCTCTAGTACTCTTACATATATATCTAACAGTAGTCCAACGCCAATGTACAAGATCATGGAATAAATGTTGTCTGGCTCAATGGCTAGAATTTGTGGTTTATGATCGTAATCATGATTGTAATATCAAAATAACAGAGAAGAGATAAGATCTATCAGGATTTAGCCCAGAAATCTGTAGTCTGTAGTCATAAACATGACCCTAATTTCAAAATAGGAAAGAAGAACTTAGATCTATTAGAGGTTAGATTCTGTAGAATCGGTATATGTGAAACATTATCTTAAAATTTTAATACCATTAAAAAAAGTTGAAAAATGATATATATTATTTCTTATGTCATTGTGTCACATTTCTTATGAAATATGATATTTTTTATAATTTAATATATACAAATACTAAAGAATACTAAAATACAACCTTAAAATTATTTTCCTGAATTAAACATAACATTAATGGTCATCTGTATGACTGTCCGACTTAGATCTGTGCTAGGAAAAGAAACTATGCCTGAAGCTTATATCAGCATAGACTCAGAAGGCAGAATATTTACTATTCGTTTAAGGTTTTATTTTTTTCTTTTATGTGAATTACTTGTATGCTATCATAAAATACTATTTATTTCATCATTAGATTTTACTTAAGACAATAAAAAGGTATTGTATTCAAGACGAGAAAAGTCTAGCATATCAATTATATTTTCCAATTGATAAATTGGATCAAGAAGTAAAGTAAGCAAATCAAGAAAGAAGCAAAAAATAACATGCAAAATATATATGAACTAATTTATGTTTTTTGGTAGGAATTTCTATCATTTGAAAGATTTTTTCAGCTGTGGAACAGAGGAAGAAAAGAAAAACGTAACATATATATACTAGTGATCGAATACTACCCCACACCAGAAAACATATATTTACTTCAATGTTTCTTTTCCTGAAGTGCTGTTGAAACGAAGAAGAAATTTTCCGGTCCAATACAAGAGTATTTATATCTAAATAATTTTAAAGCAATCAGCTGTGATAGAACTTAACCACACTTTAAGCGAGAGTCCCTTGCAAAACTATCTGGTATTGGTACCTGTTATCTAGCAACTTATACTAAACATGATCACTTATTTTCGCAATATATGTTATATTAATTGCATTTATTTTTAAAGATAAAATATAAATGGTTGCAATACAAAGCCATTATTTTCAAAGTTCCAGGCATGAAAAGATTTCCAATAAATTCTTACTTGAGTAATTTTTTGGACTCAAAACTTATTGGAATTTAACTTGGACTTTTTCTTTATTAAAACTTAAGTATTTCTTTTTAAATTAATTATTTAATATTTCATGTACTTTGTATCTCTCTTACAACCACCAATTTTATATATACAATAGAATCTCAGTTATTTTGACAATGGATGAGATGTTCTAAAGACAGCAAAGTAATCGACAGCTGTTTTCAGTAATTGTAAGAAAGAAGGACATGTTTTGAAACAGCTGAAGAAAATACATTTTTAGGTATAAAATCAAAATCTAATTGGAATTAAGCAATTTTGCAAAGAAGACACGTTAAAAAATTATGTAAGTATTTCGAGTTCTTCCATAAATTAGATCGACTGTAATTTCAATCATTTTATTTGTAATGAAAGAAAAATAATTTCAATGTTGAATCATTTTAATACACATTTTTTATATGACATAAAGGATCTGGAGAAACGTGGGAGAAATCATCGGTATATTTGCAATGAGTAATTATAACTAGGATAACATCGCAGTGGAATGTATCTTTTACAGATTTTACATACATACATACTGGAAGAGATTTTTTAAGACTATAAACCTCTTAGTCTACCCACAGTAAGGAATAATTCTAATTGCAAGTCCAAAAACAAATTCGGATAAAAATTAATGTAAGAAAAATTATGTTGTTTTTGAAATAACATGTTAGTACTATACTACCAATATTTATAATATTTCACAGTGCAGTAAATAAAACTAGCTTATTAGTAATAAGGCGCTTATTCTCTTAGAGCGAAAGTCATTAAGATGTGTACTCTGAATTTTCGTATAAGTCACTATATAAAATAATAACACTTAAAAATATACAAATGAACTAAATAAAAATACTTAGGAATCCCAAAAAAGGTTTAAAAATTAAAACAACAGAAGACGTATAACTAATCTATATTATTCCTTCCAACTGGACAACTTATTTCTCATCCAGCTTAATTGTTATACAATGCTTCTAAAATTATTGGAATCTCGTTTACATTTAAATTTATTTCCTGCTGTTATTTTTTGGTTTTATTATTTAATTATAGTTTAATAATCACCTATAATTACAATACGTTAAAAACTGCTCAATTTAGTTTAATGCTCATTAAAGAACTTGAGAGCAAAAACGAAGAACTAATACCTATTCTATAATAATAATAACTTAATTTAACTATCGTTGAATTATTTAACAATATATTATTTTGTAATAAACTATCAATAAAATTGAAGATATTATTGTACAGAAAACGACATAGATCGCGATGTACCATTAGTTCGTTAATTAATAATATATTAAAATAGTGCCACTCTATAATATTAACATTCCTACTAACCTTAACTTTCAATGGAGCCTTAATTTATAACCTACCATATAAAATATTATAAGCCTCATTACTTCATAATGTAGTAATAGCATTAACTCTATTGTGCTATGTACGATATATCTAATAAACTAAGACGTATCCTTATCTGTACCATAAACATAACAATAATAAATCTTATTTATATTAATAACAAAACTTAGGTATAATAATAATAATGAAAACTCTGAGTAATATTGTATAACATATAATATTAATAAACTCTAATAATGAAATAAAATTCTAATTAATAGAGTAAAGAAGTTATAATAGAGTAAGAAGTAAAAGAGAAGAAGTTATAATAGAGTAAATCTCATAGATTACTATGTGCCATTGTCTATTTTAATAATATTAATGTTAACATATAACTATAATAATAGTTTTCCTACCAATCATAACTTTTAATGAATCCTTCAGTTATAGACCTATGTAATATTATAAACAATAATATGTTTTTAACTATTGCTATAGAGTAAATCTTATAGGTAGCGATGTACCTCTTTTAATAACTACATTAGTATAATAAACCTAGTCATAATTTTTCTACTAATTTTTAATATCAACAGAGCTTTAATATATTATAAGTAATAATAGAAGTATAATAACATAAGTATACTATAATAGCGCTTGTTACTATAACAATATAATAGGCCCAAATAGTTCAAAAACTATTGTAAGAGCATTGGTAAAATAACGGCGTTCTGCGTCGATGTCAATAGTCCTTCCTACGCTATAATATAAATTCTATTATTTCAAAAAGAAAAACACTTATCAATATTGGATAGAGTGCATATGTTTGAAAATCTGATTTAAAGAGCTCAACATCGAAGTTCATTATTAACTTTGGACCAACTCTTCTCAACACTCTTTATGGGTTAATAGGTTTTGGCGTCGGCAAATCAAATTTTTTCTTTGAGTTAAAGAACTTTAATCTTTATTATGATATGTTAATTAAAATATTATTAAAGTATCAAAATAATATAAAAATTATAAAATATTGGATAATAGAATTTTGGAAAGCCCTACCTTTTGAACGATGTTATGTGCTGTAATCCAATCCAATCCAATCCAATCGAGTAAGTTGAATCGAAGTCGGGTTTCAGGTTGCGTTGCGTTGACTTTTTAGCACCTCGAAAGTGATCTCGAGCGATCGAAATGATCGACTTTTATTGAATAGAAAACACGCACTTGAATTAATCAATTTTTCAGTTATTTATTTAAGTTTTCATATATTTAATTTTTATTTTTTTTTATCTTAAAATTTTATATTTTTAAGGTAATTAATTAATTTTAGTAAAAATATCACACAGCGTTGTGCTTCGTAGTTTTGCTTATCTTACAGGCGTTTTAATAGAAAAACTAATTTTATTTATTTTTATTTTTTATAATATTTTTATAATAAAGTTTAAGTTTTAAGGTTAAAAATTGGCAAGAAGCTGTAAAAGTTTAAATTTAGTTTTTATTTTTAATAAAGCATTTTTTTATTTTAAGTTTAATTTTAGGTTTAAAAAGTATTTTAAGACACTTCGTTTGCTTTCTATGCACTTTAGTATATAATAATTGTTATAGTAAAATTACTTTAGTTCCATAATGGTTTAAATTAATTATATTTTAGTGAATTTCATATTAATTAATTAATTTTATGTTATACATTTCAAATTTAGAAAAAAATATTTTACGCAGCAAATAGGCAATTTTAAAAAAGTGATTGCCTTTATTAATTAATTATTTTTAATTAATTTTAATTCTTCTGTTATAGCTAATGTTGTTTTGTTGCATTTGTTTTAATTAATTATTTAAAATATTTTTCAATATTTCTGTAAAAGGTACTGTTTAGTTGCTTAGTTTAGTTTTAGTTGCAGTTTCGTTGTTTTTTTTTTTTAATTTTTATTGTTAAAAAGATTTTGGATTTTTTGAAGGAAGAAAAATTGAGCCTTGGACTTTCTTTGAGCGAAAAAATTTGTTGTTGTTGAAAGCGTTTTGAGCGACGTTTAATTTGTGTTTTGATGTTTATTTTTAATTTTAATTAAAGTTTAAAAAATTTAATCAATTTCCTTTAGTTGTTTAGTTTACAAGAAGCAGCGTTTAGAGAAAAATTAAATTTATTTTAATTGCGTTAAAAAGCCTTAAGAAAATTCACAAATTCATAATTTAGAAAAATTCTTATAAAAGTTAAAAGTTTTTAATTTTTTCACTTATTTAATATATTTTTCGAAAGTTGAAGTTTTTATTGTAGAATTCACCAGATTTCACTTATTTTTTTTTTAAAGAATTCCTTATTTTTATAAACAAATGAAATTAAATAATATTTCGTTAAACACTTTTTGTTTTGTGAAAATACTTTTTTATTCGTTTTACTTTAACTAAATTTGCGTTAAAATTGTTTGTTGTTCTGTGTTGGCTTTTGTTTGCTAACCAAAAAGTTGACGACGCTTTTTCGGAATCGCGTTACACGCACCGTTCACCGTCAACGTGTAAATAGCAAATAAGTGAGGAAAATTTTCACTTCACTGCAATATTACGAAAATGTTTTTCCTTTACGACGTCGTCAACATCAACATCAACATGAACATCGTCGTCGGCATCGGCATTGGCATCGTCTCTGTAGCAATCGGCGGTCGGCTTTAAAATCATAAACAGAAATCATCAACGGCAAACCAAACGGCCACCAAACACACAACATAAACTGTTAAGCAAGGCTTTATCCCGACACGTACGGTTCGTTCTGACGTTGAACCGAAAGTGCTCGCAGTCGCAATTGCAATCGTCATTCGTCACACCAAAGAACAACTAACCAAAAAGAGAACGTAAATTCACCCATCCGTACACCACTACATTGAACGCACGTTCAAAACAAACTGAGCAAAGCAAAGCAAAGCAAAGGCATTTTGCTTTTCGGTTGCGTTATTGCTTGTGCTTGTGCTTGTGCTTTGGTATGTCAGGCCGGTATTGGCGCTGTTGCGCCACTACTTTACTGCTCTACTACGCTGTCGGCAGCTGAGCAGGCACAATTACACAAAAACTACACAAATTTATTCAACATTGTGAATGTAGTCGAATTCTCATTGTGATTGGAGTGTGTAAGATCCTTATTTTATTTAGTTCATTTATATATAAATTTATTTTATTAAATACACAAAATATATTATAAATCATTTATGTATCAATAAATTTTGTTTCACAGTTATTTAATGCATCTTTAGAATTTTTATAGATATAATGACATATTTATATATTTTATTATAGCATTAAAAAAATTATTTTCGAAATTTATTAATAAATAAAATAAAATTTATTATTTAATGTAAAAAATCAACTTTGTTGTAAAGTTTTACAATTTACATACGGTTAAAAATGCCATGCAGTTTGTTAAAATAATGTCGGCAAAATTAAAATATTGTTATAAAATATTATTTATCTATTCAACTTAAAAGTACCCAATTTCATCTTCTTCTTCATCTTCTTACAATCTTTGTTGTATAATAGTTGTTATCATAATTATTAGTGGTGGGGAGGTGAAATGTTTTATGCTTTATTAATAAACGCACAAAAACATTACCTCTTCGGAGAGACCCTTCCGGAACCGCTTTCACATTATTTCGGTGGAGGTTTCTTTTATGTTGGCAGTATAAAACACGCTCTTTTCTTTCAAGCCTCTACTTTTAAACGCATTTTTTAGTGTATGTCTTACTTATTAGTCTGTCTTCTTCTCCTTTTTAAGTCTAATGTCTTCGCTTTAAAAGCCTTAATCACGTATGACTCTATCAGTTGCCAGTTCTCTAGGTTCACTCCCATCTTTTTTACTATATTTTCGGGATTTATTGTTCAAATCTGGATTTTTATCTCTTTTCTTTTCTACAGAAAAAGAAAATTTGCTCAATCTTAAATATATCATATATACATTGCAATACAGGTACTTACAACAGTATTCATAACCAGTCAGCATCTGAATGAGATAATAATTCATCTCTTTCGATTTCCGTTTGAGCCTGGTGATTATAGAAGGTATCAGTCTATAATTAGAGATTTCCTTACGCGCTATTGTTTCATCTTTCTTGCCACATTGCTTTCTTAATCGATGAAATACTGCTAAAAATATGAGAAGTAACTTAATCTTCAAAGTCGGGCTTTAAAAAAGAATGTGACTTGAAGCATCCTAACTTTCGAAAAATGTGTAACATCATATTACCTCAAATAAACCCATCTTATTTAAATTTTGACGTTGACTAGCAACTCATATTCATATAGAAAAACTCTCTTAAATGGACAATCATCGCCAGTCATTCTTTATATGTTCGAGAGGTGTGTCCGATTTAAAAACCAGACTCAGTTTAACTGAAATGTCCATTCAATAGTATAGTCTGCTGCAAGAGTTTTCACTGTAAACTATTTAATTAATGCTAAGTTAATTAGGTTATTATTATAATTAGGTTTACCCTTTGTGTATCCGCTTAAGTCCTGGAAAACTCAGTTCATTCCGAACGAAAGTCCTAACGAAAAGTTAGACATTCTTGAAGGTGAAGATTTGTAGTTTACATAAATTTATGAGACATATTACTCAGAAAGAGCAATTCTTATTATTTATCTGACGGCAACTCTTCCTAATGTGATTCCTCATCCCTTTGGGTCCTTTTCTGTGGAAATCTTTAAATAACAAATTACCTAACAATTACCAAAAGAAAAGTCTCTCTCTTCTTCATGTATTGTACTTCGATTATCTTTTATTTTTATTAATTATTAAATTAAATAAATTTAATTTGAATTAAAATTAAAATTGTTGTTTGCACTTTAAGCGTGAATAATTTTTGTTATTGTGCCTACAGCGACTTTACACAACACAAACTGCGCTGCTCAGTCGATGCAAAACACGCGCTCTCTCAATGCTTTGCTGCGCTGCTTCCAAACGTCAAACGAAACGGATAAAAACAGTTGACTTACGCTCTGTAGAGCAGCCGCATTGCATTGCATGTGTTGAGCATTGCTCTGAGAGCAAGAAGACCACGTGCAAATTTCAACTCCTCACGCCGCTGCAAGGGAATTTGTAAAAACTACTGCTTTATTTATTGTTGCTACTTTTCATGTCATTTTTGGTAGCACTTCATTCATTTTCTTTTACTTTTGTTTATTTTTTGTTTTTGTTTTCGTTTTTAGTTTTGTTTTTGTTTTTCATGCTGTGGACGTACATTATTGCAACTCTTTTGGTGCGTGGGTTTTTCTAATTGCTGCACACGATATGCCAATGAGACTATCGTGTTTGGTTTCGGCTTGCAATTGTTGTTGGCGTTGTTATACGAGATATGCGCCTCCTACTTTAATCGAGATTATTTTTTACAATTTCATTGCAAATATCTTTCGCAAATTGACAAGTGACAGATAAAAAATAAAGTTTAATAATATAAAATATATTTACTTACTTTTTGTTTGGTTTAATAATAATTTTTCATATTGCAAAAATACTTTTTTATTAAGTCAAGTAAAGCGAAAAGGCGCGATAGAACGAACGACTAACTAAGGCGCTTTATGTAGGTTTTTTGTCACTAAAAAAATTCGAGCTGACAATTCTGAAATTGTCTATGGCATTGCCATGTGTGGGCTTATTTAATCGGACGTATCACTTATTTATTTATAAAATATAAACTAAATTATAAAATAATAAACTGAATATTATTTCTTTATCTCTAAGAATCTAAAAATCTACAAAAGTTAATATATAAGTTTTCAGTTCTTACGATCACTGCTCTGGTGCATTAATATTATATACATATATGCACAAAACAGATATATTTACGATGCTCCGATATATAGCGTACTATCGTAACGTATACATAACAAACTTTATAATTAATCACATCTACATATATTTATTACATAAAATGACCAATTGTGAACTCCGACCAATTTTAAACTGCTTAAACGTTCGAATTGGTTTCGGAACTTCATCCATATTTCGTCCAACGACAGCTGATTTTTTAGTTTATAATATCAGACCATATCATATGAGTCTCTGTTCTTAATTACTTGATAGAGTTCAAATCTAAAATACTGATCATGCTATATTTGGGTGAAACTCACACGAGTGATGATTGTTAGAAACCTCCAATACCTGAATGTGAATATATTCCTGATGACTCAAACGACAGCACTTTATTCTTAAACTGGCAAAGCTATACAATTACTCAGTGGTAATTGGAAAAAACTACATTTTCATCTGCTTCGCTTC